TTAAAAGTGGTCAGGCCATAAGTAAGTTACATGAAATACCATGACACTCATTCTCATTTCTTTTTCAATGAGACCACCTAATTTAGAGAGGGGAGGTAAATATAGAGATTTAAAGAAATACAATTAAATAAAAGAAGATTGTAAAAAGGTAAAACTGGCTCAACGTTTTCAACAAGATAAATGTAGCTGCAAATTATTTCCATCGTCTAAACAAATTTATGCAAGTACACATTCCATAGATGACTTTCCAATGTGAATGGGGTCATTTCCCTGCAAACAGCATCACAACACCAGATAAAATCTCTGTGCTAACTTTCCAGAGTTGTAAAATCATGTCTCGCAGTATTATTAACCTCTGTGTAGTGGTTTAGAATCTGATCAACTGTTACTCAAACTGGCCTCTGGGAATTTTAACATCGTACAGTATGAAGCAGGAGGCTCTGCACTGGTGCACTGAGGTAATAGACTGGTCATTTGTTTGTGCTCCAGTGGGAAGCGGCACAGCGGTGGACTGTGATTGTGTCCAGAGTGGGTGGGCCTCGCTCGGTCTGCTGCCTGCTGAGTGCTTAGTGAAACTTAGTTCAATAATATTTTGCTCCCTTCATTTGATGAAGTCACACCCACACCAACATACCTTGGATCACACAATTCCCTTATTCTTGTTTTTGTTCGTCTTTCCAACTTTTACATTGTTCAACTACGTGACGTATCTTCACAAAGTAGCCTAAAGAAAATAAAATGAAATACTGGTTATGGCATTAATGTGTGTGACAGAGTAAAGATTAATGACCTGCCTAGTAATCCACAACAGCTAATAGGTAGCCTGTGCTAACACCTTGAATGTCTTTGCAGCCATCTGAGGGCTGATTCATCTGCACTCCCAAACTGGGAGGATGTTGTGCACTGTCAAACCCACATTGTGCACAGATCTGCTTGTTCTTTTATGTACAACAACCATCACACTGAGTTCAAACTTCTCCCTCTGGTAATGACTCCCTCGGAAGCATGCATTCCTCCTAGTCCCCCCTCCCAACAGTTTCCACCCAAAACACTGGGGGACCAAACCAGGGCAATTTAATTCAATTCAATTTTATTTGTATAGCATTAAATCATAATATACATTATCTCAAGGCACTCTACATAGAAGGGCAGAAGCAGCACATCTCCACTTTGTCCCAAGCTACAAAAATGAGGCCAAAATATCCCGGATATGGGCTGTGCCATCATTTGGCACCAGAGTATTTGTAGTCATGATTGAGCGAGTGATGTCAAAGTTCCACTGACACAGCCAATCTGCTAACATGGAGGAGGCAGTGTTTGTGACCCTTACAAGCTTCACTTGTGAGGAGCTGTCATCCATCTTTAGATACAATCATTGGTTTGGTCAAAGTACCAGCTGGAGCTCTGCGGTACAGTGCACACGTGATGAGCTATGATGAGCGACATTCTGTGGTAAATAGTTCAGGTAAATATATTAAATGTTAAATGTGGATCATGAGATTTGCATATTTTGAAATGATTTCAGCTTTTACTGTTGCATCTTCGAGTCGGTTGTGCTCCTAACTCAGATTTCTCCCAATAAGATTCAGGTGGCGCCGTGACATCAGCATGGCAGAAAGTGTTGAGTGAATTGAAATAAAATCCATTTTCATAAATCATCACCATCTCTCAGCACAAAGCCCAGTTTGGATCCCCGTTTCCACCTTTTTCTTTGACTCTGGACTCTCTGACGATGACACCCCCAGATTCCTTTTCTTTATCAAAGATAACAGGGCCCCCAACTCTGCTTTGTCCTATCAGAAACAGTTAAGATAAGGCAAGAATGCGCAGGAGCACAGGGTACTCTCTGATTTCACAGCTATTCCCATTCCCTAACAAGCAGCAGCTGATCACTGATGTGGGCTTGTGTATGTATTCACCCCCGACCCCCAAACTAAAGTACTATGTGGAAGAAGAGTTTAGTTTACTAACTTACATTTTGGTATTTTCTGGTTGGGATGAAAAGATTTAACCAGAATAAAAGCAAAGTGAGGAGGACAGAGTGGAGCCATCAGTTAAAAGTTTAGTGTAAGACCTTATAAGCCTTTTTCTGATCTACTATTGCTTTCTTGCAATGACATTTTGATTACTGGCGATGGTCTTCGGCTTTAGGGAATGTTGTTAATGATAGAATGCAAACATAAATAGTTTAAGTTTATCATCCCTGTCTATATATATATATATATATATATATATGCTGTGTAGAAGCAGAATTACATCGTTGATGAAGGTAAATTTGTTTTCTTCACACATCTGAAATAGAATAACCTAAGGTGCCAGATAGTCCATCTGGAAGAGTTTAATTGGAAACTATTTGGAAAGTGTCGTTCTTTGCTCTTCTTCCAATCAAGAAATGCTCTCCAGTTCTGATATAACTAATGTAACAGCAGCATATATGCTTAACTTTAGCTGCCGCCACACCTAAGAGATGCCCATAGCTGCTAGTGGTTCCTCTATCACTGTCATTGATTGGTCCAAACCCCTGTGGATCAACCACCAGGGAATACCTTGGAGCCAGAGTTAATTAAGGTCATTCTCACAACCTTGCAATGCTTTGTGTGCTTTGCTGAGATCTTATATACATTATTAGCCAGACATAAGTGATGCAAATACATCACAAAGCACCAAATATGAACAAACCTTCTTAGATGAGTAAAATTCTCAATGCTCCATGTTTACAGCAGTTTATTACCCTTTTCACCCCAGCAACCCAAATTCCTAATGTCTGAGTAAGGTCTCACATTGTAATCCTGTCCATTACACAGCATCTGCCTCACATTGGCATATTTCAGGTATTACTCACCAACTGACTGATGAGCAGAGATTTTACAGAAGGCAAAGTTTTCTGAGTCTTGTGAAACAAAGCTTCAGGTTTCAGCCGCTGGTGTCATTTTACAGTTTGGAGAAAGGCGGTGTTCTTCACAGGACCACACAAGAACACACAAATCAAAAGCCGGTCCCCACTGCACTGCACACAATGTGTTATCTTGACAATAGCCCTCTTCTTCTAACTGTGAGTTAACGTTGCAAACAACGTGACGGCTGTCAAGCAGTGGAGAGCAGAGGGGCTCACTCACAGCTGCAACAATGGGGAGATTTATCATCACTGCCGCAGCAAAACTGCTGGAGGATTTAGCGCTCAGCAGGTGTGTTGGCTTGTACTGTAAATAATCTGACAGAGCTACCTGATGCCTGTATTATAAAAGGAGAGAGCTTTCAAGAACTCACTGCTGCTGAATTAATGGGTATCATCCCCAGATAGTGCGAACACTTGACTATATACTATGGCAACACTCTTCAGGCACATATAGCGGCATTATATTTATACCAATTAAAGCTCCATTTATCATAATTTTTATTTTAAGATATATTAATGGGATAATCTCACCTCCTTGGAGCAACTGAGCCTCTTTTAGCTCATTGTTTTGGTTTGACATCGCCATCGCAACTATATACAACTGTGAAGCTGTATTTTTCTATTGTATATGACACACTAGACATTTCTAACACCCACAGAGAATCAGTTCAACAAAGCTCTAAGCCTATTTTAGCTAATTGTTTCATAGCCAATACATGTATTGTTTGACTGAGTCCCTCCTTTATGAGTATAAGGGCCACTAAAAGAGAAAATAGTCACACATTTCAGAGAATAAAGTCATAATGAGTAAAAATATTGTACATTTAAGAAATCAGGGGGAAGTGTTTGATTATAGTCAAAGGGATTTCGTAGTTTCTCAGGAAACAGTGACATTGAAGATCAAAATGTTGGAACCAGAATGGCTGAAATTCCAGTTAGCTTCAGTTCTCCTTGCTGCTTATTTCTTAATTTTTGTTTGAGATTTTCTGATTAAATTGCAACTTTATTCTCATAATATCACAACTTTTTTTCTTGTAAATGTACAAATTTATATGAATACTTTGTTCCATCTTACTGCTTTCATTTCAGAGAAGCTGTTTTTATAGACAATTACCGACCGCCTGTGGCCTGGCCGCCTTTGAGCCTCTCGCAACAGCTTGAAACAGGAGCAACGCAGAGCAGTGAGCATCTAAACTAATGGAGCTGTCAGGTGGATACAAACATTACAAAACTTAATGTGTTCATCTGACGATGACACATAATAGAGTTGTGATATTATGCTCTTTTCACCTTCACTTACTGTATCATATCAAAATCAGACATGCTTGGCTAATTTAATTGAGCAACAGTAATGATTCCCTGGTTTTTGTTTATGCCAAGCAGACATACAGTGAGGAGAATTGCTTCAGTTACACAGAAATAAGAATCTTCACTGTTGGATTGAATTAATTGTTCCTGTTTGAAAGCTGCTATTCAGTCCTGTTCTCCTGTTCTAGCAGGGACTGTAGAGAAGGTGGTAGAGCACTGTGTCTGTTCTCCACGTCTGCTTTGTTGTGGCAGCCACACAGAATAAATATTCACAGCTCTCAGTTTTCATTCAAACCGCTTCTTGGAATAAAATGAGGAGACCAGAATAGTATAATGTTTAACAGCCAGAGAAGATGAAAAATCAGGTCTTAGAAGTTTGGTTTGGAGCCTCCTCAGTGTTTATTGCTCTTTAGAAAGAGAAGTTAATCCGCCTTCTGGGAATCCAATTAAACTTTTACTAAACAGACACACACAGTCATATGCTGGATGTGCTGAACGTCAACAGACAACACATTTGCTTCTCATCAAAACAACCCTGTGAACCCACAGTTACTTCTTCGGCTCAATTAAAGTGTCAGTCAGCAATGATACAGATGACAGAGGCTCTCAGAGCGCTCATCATTCCTCTGCCTGCTGAGACAAATGCCTGGCACAGGTCGAGCAAACATGCAGCTGTTAGTGGACTGAGTAAAGCGTCAGTTTGTGATGAGCTGTTGGAACATCAGAGAAACTACAGCAGCATCTCACCTCACAAGACAAAGACATCATGTAGGAGAAGACAGAAGGTGACTGTTACCTTTCCTCCAAGGAGCCAGGATGGAGATCGACTTGTGCCAGCTGATGACAAGTCCGGCCTTTTTCCTCTTCACACTCATGTTGCTGTTACAATCCCTGAAGTTGAGGAAACTTCAAATGTGTTAAGTTGAAAAAAAAAATAGAATATAAAGTTCCTCAGAGATTCCTCATCATGTTTTAAGAGAGGTTTATTCTGCCTAGAGACTCAGTTGAAGATGAGGCATCTGTTGTTGGAGGTTGTTCTCGAGCAGGGTCATGATACCTGTGTTTCCTCGCCTGTGCACTTGTGAGTGAGAGCGCGTGTATGAATGCATCACATTCCTCCAGCAGGGAAGAGTAAAGGGGGCCAGGCTCCAGCAGCATTTAGAGTCATGAGAGGAGGAGGGAGGAGTGGCAGCGAGCTTCAGGGAGAGAAATGGAGGAGGAGGAGGAGGAGGAGGAGGGAGGAATGATTTACACTCGGCCTGGAGGCGAACTGGGAGCGACAAGAGCCAGAGGAAGACCAGGAGTGGTTAAAGAGGGAGGAGGCTGATGATCCACTGAGATTTGAGTGGTAAAGCCCCCGTTCACATCAATCACAGCCTCATATCACATCAATCACAGTTTTCAGTTAATGTTACATTGTTTTAAATAAAAAAAAATGAATCCAGGTTACTTTCATTAATGTGTCAGACATATCTGATTGGATGTAAAATCCTAATAATAAATAAATTGATGATTCAATTTCACAGGAAAAAATAAAAGTAGTCATCACTGTTGAATGCTTGCAGCTATAGAACTGGACTCACATTCACTGTGACTTAAGTGTATCCTGACAGATACTGATACATTGTAGTTTTTGTAATAAATATATTAGAAAGTAGAAATATTTTTATGAAACGACACTTCTGTAACGTGAATTCTACTTTTTCAAGATTTTAGTATGAGGCAAGTGGAGGGACATCTCTCCCTCCTTGTGTGTGTGTTTGAGAGTGCGTGTGTGTGTGTATGTGTGTTTGTGTGTGTATTCCTGAACTATGTAAAGACCTGTTGGGACTGACAACTAATTAGGAAGGTGAGGAGATCATAGGTGGTTCTTTCTTTCTGACACAATGAGTTGCTTGAGGGTTAGGACTTGATTTTAGGGTCATGGTTAGAGTTATGTTGCACTTTGGCTGCATTGTGTGTGTTTGTGTGTGTGACGGCTACCAAGCTGATCTGTTGCAGCTTGTAACCATGTTTCAACACTGCCAGCACCATCATCATGTCTCCTATCTTTCTTCATTAAGTTTGCCTCAGATAATGGCCATTGATAATATATATCATCCATTATTGATGGGGTAAAGAGTTATAACGAGGGAAGCAGTCATGTGAAAGTTGTTTTTTCTCCTACATGTTTTGAATATCGTTATTTTGACGATGTGCTCTGCAGCACGTTGCATCTATTGCGCTTCTGTCCGTCCTGGGAGAAGGATCCCTCACATGTGACTCTCCCTTTCCTCTTTCTTGTGTTAAAATCTGAACTAAACTCTATTACAGGATAAGCTTGTGTGGCCTGTGTAAATAAATGGACCTACTTGCACATCACTCCTGTTTTTTAGATATTTTATTTCTATTATTAAATTTGATTCATTCATTTCTTTGAATAACTGCATTTCAACAAATGTTGGCATGAGAATCTGCTGCTGCTGAGCTAAGAAGCTAACTGTCTGTTTTTTTACATGTAGGATACTTTGTTTATGCAACAGAAGAACACATATATTGTTATACACATATGTCAGTTTTTTATACTCAGGTGAACCTTTTTATCAATGAGTCAATTGGTGGTCTTTCATTTTTTTTTCAAAATGACAGTGACATCTAGTGTTGAAAATAAGAAGTGCAATGTGCGTACAATACAATCTATTGCTGGAGACTGTATTTCTCAGAGGCCATTTTTCATTGTATTTTTCAAAGTTCCCACAAGGCCACAAAAACAGTCAGTATCCAGAGCAATCGTCATGAAAAAGCAGCTAATACTGTTTCCTTACCTTGCCATTGTTACTGAGAGTCTATACAATTTTCAATTAGAATGAACAATATGGTGGCCTATTGTATGTTTCAAAGTCTAAACCCCAGCACAGCATTTTGCTGCCATCTTGTAGACTGTTGGTGATACAACAGGTTAGAAACACTGCTATACTGATACTGTTTAGTTATTTCTTATTTATTTGATCCTCTGCACACTGTAATCTGCTGGTGTACAGAGTAAATTAAATCCCTAATGGCTGCATTGTATACACATGGCCTCCTGTAGTAGATGGCAAATTTGTGGCTTAATCAAAATGTTTGTGCCTTGTGGTATTTTAATTCCCTCTGATGGTCAGAGAGTTTCTGAATAAGTTCAGTGGCATCTCTGTGCATGTGATTGTAGTGAAGCATTGTGAACGCAGCCCAGGTAGTCCAGCAAGACTCCTCCCTAAGCCCCTCCCCCTGCCCAGGTGCAGTATAAAATGCCTCAGGTGGCTCAGTTCTGCTTCTTGCTGGTCCCTGGTGGTGGTTACCTGTTGTTCTGTTCTGCTTTTGTTAGGTTTGCCTTTGTTTGTCTGTTTTGCTCATCTATGTAGTTTTCATTTGCTTGTTGGTCCAGATTTATTAAGTTTGCTTAGTTGTATGTTTTGAGATTTTGTTTGACTATCAATTAGGTTGTTGGTTTTGTTCACTTTTTGTTCCAGGAAGTTTCTTTGTTTTTTTCTTTGATTTTCAGTGAGGACTGGGTGTTGTCAGTTGGGGGGTGGCTAGGCACTGTGGTGAGGACCTCACTCCTGTTGCATGCAAGTAGGCACTGGGGCACTTTTAGTGTATGTATTGTTGTGATTTTGTGTAGTGTTGCACCCCAGGCTAGAGGGAAGCAGCATTTCTCCAGTAGTCTGCCTCCCACTGAGGCCCCAGCCCACTGACTTTAGTTTTCTGTTATAGTCACTAGAGATTTAGTATTGCTTTAGCTGGCTTATTTTAGATATTGTGTTCTGTTAATGAACTAATTGTTGTTTATTTACCTTATAGTTGTCTGAACCTCCTTTTTGTCTCCACCAGCTTCAGTTCTTTTGTTCTCTTTTAGGTCCAGTCCTGATTTCTTTGAATTCTTGAATCAATAAACATAGTTGCATTATATAATTTGCTGTCTCTGCCTCCTCAGTCATTAACCTGTGTCCCTTTAGGTTTCTTTAACCTATTTTTTTGATTTACATTATATCCTGTGGCGCAAGGCTCCAGGTGGCGTTGTTGGTTCCTAAGTTATTGTTACCTCAGTTATTTCGACCTCTCCCCTTAATTAATTTAAAACAACTCCACTCCTTCCCACATGAGTATTGATATAAAGGTGTTAAAGTGCCATTGACTGATCTAGAATACATTTTTAGTCAAGCTAAAAAAAATGTACATTTTACATTTACTCAGGCATAGTAACAGAATATAACTCTTCCCTGAGAATACGATCCTGCATATGGACCTGATGGCCCCACACCTCCCAGCAACTACCGAGTGCCTCAAAATAATACAAAGCAATCATGAAAAAAGACAAAAAATGCTTCTTCTATCAACAAAACATTTTTGAAATTGTTAGACCTTCTCATCTATTTTGAAAAGTTGTTGCCAATGATCCATAAATGCTACTTTATGGACATGGACGAGGGTTATAGCCAAACATACTTTTACTTTAAACTATGAAGAATATGGGATATAAATGACTCTTCATATTGTGATGTCATGAGAGGTTGCGTCATAGAGGGGAGATACATTCCCTCCCGGTGGCTGCAGCAAGGACTACAACCCATCATGGCCTCCATTAAAAAAAACTACAAACCCCACAGTCAGCAGGGCAGACTGGACAAGGATCCCAGCTGAACTACATTTAGCTGATTGCTGAGAGTGAAGTGAACAGTGCAGATGGAAGAGAGACTCTGTCTGAGGTGGAGAGAGAGAAGCAGTTCTTTTGTTAGTTTACAATGAAGACAGTGAACGAGAGTTGTGATTCAAATACGTGGTTTTGTTTTGTTTCTGCTGATGGCAAGAATGAACCTGTTAAGAGAAGAGTGAATACAGTGAATTTAAGTTGGAAAGCAGAGTCCGTCTGTCTTCATTTCATGCACCCACACCTCAAAAGCTCCAAGAGGAAATCTCCCGACCTCTCAAGACATCACAATATCTTTGTGTCTAGTGAGTAGCCTGCCACTGACAATACTATTATGTGAACCCGCAGGTCATGTTCAGGCTTTTTTCAAAAGCTCCTGCAAGAAGAATAAAAAAATATCACTCTCCCTGTAAAGTGGTAATGTTGCAGTTCTCTTTAATGGATGAACACATGTAAAGTTCCATCACTATGATTGCTCTCCTGGAGCATTTGGAGCTCCAGTATGGATGTGGCATGGTTGAGTTAATACAGGAGATTTATTTGCCTGGTGACAGTTATTGGCAGAGGCTGGTTTACTATATCTATCATTTGAGATGTACGGCTAAACACATCACAAGTCATACGGATGTTTCAGGGCCAAGCACCATAGTGACTACAGAAGGGTCGTCCCATGTGTCAATATCAATAACAGTAACTTGTGGTTATAAAAACAAGATATTCGATGTATACCTGGAATATTAACTGATGATCATAACTCTATGCATGAAATAACAAAGGAGTCATTTTTGACCAGCGTTATTTATAAGAAGAGGGGCAATTTTAAAGTGTTTTTTTTTTCCAGAAATTAATAATCTGTGACAATCAAAAACAAATGAATCAAGAAAACATGGAAAACAGAATGAATAAATCTATTAATTTATTACAAAGATATATAGAATAAAACTTGTGATGTGCATCAAGGGGTTAAAGCATCACTTGTTGTTCGCTGGGATTTACGGAGCCACATACCTTTTAACAACTGTGTAAACACTGAAGCTGATGATGCACTATGCATACTCTGATTAGTATTCCACATTTCCAGTTTCCCAGCAGTTGCAGGACGTCATAAATTACAGAACTTGTTTACACGTGTCATGAGTTTATTTCCTCTTTGGCAGCAGAACGTCCTTCAGGTTAAACTGGACTCAAACACGACCAAACCCTCTGACAGGTTAACTCTAAATGGACTTAAAAACACTTACTACCCTTACAATCAATCCACCAATAAGTCTTATAAGGAAACAGCTTTAGGACGTATAATCTCTTGTCAGTCATGTCATTGTACCAAAACCCAAAAGCTAGAGGTGAAAAAGCACACCGTGGAAAACACGATGCGCAGTAAATGAAGTGTGCTTGTAGTAAAATGAGTAAAACATGAAATAAATATAAGTCTATAATGTTGTGAC